GGCTGGGGAATTCTGGGAGTTGAAGTCCACACACCTTAAAGTTGCCAAGGTTGAGAGACACTGGATTAGAGGGGAGGGGCAGGGTTTTTTTTTTTAAAAAAGCCTACAAATCTTGCGGCTTCTCCTGGCCTAGCGCTGATCCAACTACGACTGTGCGAGAATCTGCTTTTGACACGGTTGTGCGTGCAGTTCCTGTCTCCAACCGGGTGCCCTCCGGACTTCTCAACCTCAGCGACTTTAAGAAACGTGGACTTCGACTCCCAGAATGTCCACACATCTTAAAAGTCACTGAGATTGAGAAGCACTGCATTAAATAATTTGTGTAACCTCTTTTGAAACAACATTCTGTCTGCACAGTCCTGTGAAGCTTACTCTGGCCCACTTGCTTGTACTTTAGCATTCTGGAAGGGCAGGGGTTAAGTGCAAAAATATAAATATAAATAAATAAATATTTGTGGTTTTACAGAATAGATGATCATATTCTGGTCGTCAGTCACCTTAGCTATTATTTTTCCATTGGCCTGAAATTAAAGCCCAAATTAAAGCTTGGGCTTTAATTTGGCTAGACACCTACGTCTCTGATGATCTTTTTCCAAGCTGGCAACTTCCAGATGGGCCTGATGTATTCCAGGGAGCCTCTTGTATTCACCAATTCAATTTTCACACCAGTGTTGGCTTCCCTATAGAGCAGTGTTCCTCAACCTCAGCAACTTTAAGAAGGGTGGACTTTCACTCCCAGAATTCCCCAGCCCGCCATGGGAGTTCTGGGAGTTGAAGTCTACCCATCTTAAAGTTGCTGAGGTTGAGGAACACTGCTACAGAGGAACATCCCCTGTCTGAATTCAGTGAGACCTAAACCTAACTAACAGTTATGGCCCAAAAACAAAACAAAAAGCTGGAGAGAAATCAACACTTGACATTAGCCTTTATTATGGACCCAACATATTTGGGGCTACTGTAAGAAGACAGTCTCCAAAGAAGAGAATATAGAGGATTTGGAGAACTATCTACTAGTCCTGGATCCATGGAAAATTTATAGAGCTGATCACAAAGAGACGGCACTGTAAGTATTTGGAAACAAGGCATACGACAAGTTTGCATGGATTGGTCAATGACAACTCTGATCTTACCTCATTATTTCACTGGTTAACTTTTTCAGCAGACTGTGGGAATGCTGTAGACGTAATATATCTTGATTTCAACAAGTTTTCAGCAAATATTTGTTCTCCATATTCTGATTAGCAAGCTAGTTAAATGTGGGCTGGATGCAATGACATTTAAGTGAATACTGTACATAGTTGGCTTGAAAACCTTAACTCTGAAGTCTTCATTGAAAGTTCACGGTCCAACTGAACAGAGTGCTACAAAATTCAGACCTGGGTTCTCTGCTCTTCAGCATTTTTACTGACTTGGTTGAACAAGGGAATACCTATAAATCTAGCAGATGATACAAATTTGGGTCACCCAGCTAATACCCTGAAAGAGAAAATTCAACATGACCTTGAGAAGTTAGAAAAAGGGGCTGAGAGTTACAGAATGGCTCTCACAGAAACACGTACTTGCAATAGGTCCACGGGTATCCTGATGTACGTCCCAACAACATCACACAAGGCATGATGTCATCACACAAAGGCCATCAGTGCCTAATTCATGGAAGTGTGACAAAAGTTCCCATCCACATTCTAACCAAGCCCTTACCTTGTTCAGATTTTATGGAGCTCAGCTACAGCCAGTTGCAAAGCCCAAGTAAAGATAGGGTTACCCCCTTTTCCCCGCTCTGACTTGCACTGTACGTCATAATAAAACTAGCAAGCAGGGACCCAAAGATATGAGGAATGTAGGCTTTGGATTTTAACCTGATAGGGTTGCACGTTGTGGTTGGGCAAAGGCAAAACGTACAGACTAAAGCACTGGTCAGTTTCCCACTGAAAGACACCAGCATTCACATGGAAAACATCAGTGGCTCTTCTCCAAGTGAGCGCTCCATTGCTTTAAGCAAATTTCCATGTGGAAATCAGGATTACACTAGGC